ATGATTTAGTAAATTTTGACTCATGTCTGCCAACCTGAATTCAGGGTTCAGCAGTGTGTCTTATTTTTGTAAATCAGTGCTGGTAAACAAATGCATTTGGTGACTGCTAGGAAGCAGATGAGCACATTCGTCTGGGGCGGGGTTACCACTGTGATCTGGAAGGGTTTGGATCTGCGCCCCTCCCTAACCCACTTGTATTGGAATGAGCTGGGAAAATAAAAAGGACAACTGGGTTCCCAAAGTCTGCTTTCACTTTAGGGACAGATGCCACTGATTTCTCTTGTTAGCATGCCAGCATGTGCTTGCGTAGCTTCAGGGCTCTCAGACCAATCTAATTCAATTTTTTCCATTTATCAGAACTAATACTGTGTGTTACGAAATTGTGAGTGTGTGTTGGTACTGGGAAATTGAACCCAAGGCCCATTCATATATTAAGCAGATGCTCTTACCACTGAGCTGTATCCCCAGCCCTGAAGTTTTGTCATTTTATCAAAACATTAGAAACAGACAGTTTGGGTTTTTTGACAAAGACTTTGGCTTGTTTTTGAGTAACTTTTTTTAAATTAAGGTCTCGGCTTCCTGCAAGATTCTGGCCTGTGTGTTGTGGCTGACAAGCTGAACTTCATTCGCTATCTCTCCCATTTCCGCTGTGTGCACAGAGGGGCCGACTTTGCCAAGATGAGGACCACCACAGTGCGCAGGCTGCTGCCAGAGTCTTGGGGCTTCCTCTGCCCTGTGCATACCCCAGACGGGGCACCGTGTGGGTTGCTGAACCACTTGACTGCCATATGTGAGGTCGTCACGAAGTTTGTGTACACAGCATCTGTCCCAGCCTTGCTCTGTGGCTTAGGTATGGACACTGAAGGTCCTGCTAGGTTTCATGGCTTTGACCAGCATCAAACACTGAAGTCACTCTCTGGGGCTCAGCAGAGAACTCTCTTTCAGTCCTCCAAGCATGGGTTGGGCTGCTTTCTTGGCTGCTTTCTCATGCATTCTTTGGAGCTAAAGTAAGTTAAATGTCATTAGCGTTGTCCTTTTTTTTTGTAATACAACAAGAGCAAGATATTTAATAGGACAGCCTTAACATTCAAAGTTAGGTGCTGCTGTATAAATTTCTGGGTCACTCTCCTGTGCTCCTGGTAGATCTTTGAATTTCTAAGTAGAAAATTGTTGGTTTGGGGGAGTTCAATTAAAAAGTAGCTTATGCAGTATAGCTGATGCCATAGATCACTGACCTTTGTTCCTGGTAGCATGCAACCACTGTCTCTGCTTGGGGAAAACTCAGTCATTGTTCAGATGTCATCTTTTTGTTTGAGTATTTTCTAATGGTTTATTCCTGGGATTTTCCTGTTGTGATTTAAAAGTGACAGTATTGTATCGTTGTTGGTGTGTGAGTGAGGTCACCAGTGGACTGAGGTTTATGAAATACAGCTTAGGACTCCTAAGGGTCAGGGGGTAGATAGGTGCTTCAAGCAACCAGAAGGACATTGAGTCAAAAGTTGAAAACTTGTTATGTAAAATGTTTCACCCAGCTGGAAAATAACCATTAAGAAAGGACCATGAGAGAAAGCAATAAAGAAATAGTCAAGATTCAGGAGATACAAGCCATCTGTCCATTTGCTGACTGCAAGGCAAAGGATACTTTTGTTCTGTCATTAATTAAAATCAAGCCAAGCATTAGTGGCACAAACCCGCAACCCTAGCTCTTGGGTGGTGAAGGCAGGAGGATTAGGAGTTCAAGGTAAGCCTGGGTTACAGGAGACCCTGTAACCAGGGCCAAAGTCCAGGAGGAAACAAAGAGAAAAGGTTAGAGAGGTAGACAGTACATCATCCCAGTGTGGAGGAAGAGATGGCTTTGAAGAAGAGAGCTGAATAAAAAGACACTAGCCCTGGAGAGCTGGTGTGGCTGACAGGTGAAGCACTGAGTGGTGACCTTTGACACTTGGGAAAATGCTGGTTGTTTCATATGGCAGCTATTATATGTGCAGATGTGGCTTGTCACTTAATGAGTTGCAGCCCTGTGCTGGTGGCACCTACTGAGCTTGGGGTAGGGAGTCTGTAGGGCTGAGTTCTCTCGGGTCAAACCTTGAACTCTGAGCCAGCAGCCTCAGCTTATCTAACTGTCTCTAAGAGGCCTGTAAGAGCCACTCTGCACTTAGGAACACTGGGCAGCACTCAGCACTAAGTGTTTGCATGGCCTTGAACAGACAAGGAAAGATTTGCTTGCAGTCGGAGTGACAAGAGGCAGAGTGTGTGCACCAGGAAAGTCACGTTTGTGCTGTGACCTTTAAAACCCCTGGTATGATTTTGTCAAGCAGGCAAACGTCCAAGAGTGAAATCTGCGGATGAGGAGGATCAATGGTAATGAGATCTTTTCTTGGGAAAGGGTATTCAAGGTACAGGATTTAGGAGTCAGCACATGAAAAGGCTTTCTGTGCAAAGCCTCCCTGGGGCCCACCATCCTCACAGGAGATAAATTCTTGTGTGTCCTTGGTGAAGCTGTTGCCGTATGCACAAGCAATATGAAAGCATTTGTGCTGTACACATGCAACAGTTGGATAGCTGAACTGAGAAAGCAGCCATCGAGTGTCCCCAGGAGCTGGAGATGTTGGATGAAACCTTCTGATGTCATTTTTCTGCTTGTCCCCTCCCCCGCCCCAGGAGTCACCCCAGTGGACGCCACACCTTGTCGACCATACAGTGACTGCTACCCTGTCCTGCTGGATGGTGTCATGGTGGGCTGGGTGGATAAGGAGCTTGCTCCTGACGTTGCAGACACTCTCCGTCGCTTTAAGGTGAGCTTCAGTCTCCGTGGGTTGTCTTGCTTATTTATCTCCTGACCTTTGGTTTCCAGTCCTTTCCTAGTGGATGAGCTGTCCTGGGGATGCTCTGGAGTGGTCAAGCAGTCGGGGGTGATGCTAATTCCAGAGGTGCCTGACTCTTCCTCTGGTGGTGGTAGTCTTGCCTTGTGCGTGGGGTCAGTGACAGACACATGACCTATAAGCATTTATCAGTCCTTTCATTGAGGTCCCTGTCTGCTTATCCATCCAGTTTGACTTCCTAGGAGTGCCACCAGCTGGCTACTGTCACCTTCCCAGCCGAGCATCTTGTTTGTCCTGGGAAGGTGCTAACCTGACCCTCTTAGGTTGATGACTGTATAGTTAGGGTTCTCAGGGGATTTGTGAAAGAGACTTGAAGGCATAGCCCCTTTCCTGGTCACCCACTGATAGGTCAATCTTTGCTGATTTCTTACTGTTCCCTTGGCTGTTCTTTGCTAAGTGGATTGGGACTATGGTGGATATCCTGCACTCACTCTGTAGTCTACACAGGCTTCTAGCCATCCTCCTGCATCAGTTTCCCAGGTAGGTAGGATTACAGACCTATCCAATCAGTTTTTTTTTTTTTTTTAAGATTTTTATTATGTATACCGTGTTCTGCCTGCATGTATGCTTGCAGGCCAGAAGAGGGCACCAGATCTCATTATAGATGGTTGCTGGGAATTGAACTCAGTACTTCTGAGTAGCCAATGCTCTTAACCTCTAAGCCATCTCTCCAGCCCCTGTCAGAATTCTATTCTACTTTTCCTAACCTTACTGCCTCTATTTGAGTCTCTCTTGGTGAGCTGAACATTTTTATCTTGGTTTTATGAGCCAATGATTTTTAATATTTTCTTTATATTATCAGCTCTCTATTAGCATTAATGTTAATTCAATTTGGGGGCCGGTGAGATGGCTCATCAGGTACTGGCACTTGCTGGCCTAGTGACTTGTTCAATCTCCAGATCCCTCAAGTCCCAGGAAACAGCTGGCTTCTGAGGCTTGTCCTCTGCTCCACACTCTGGCACTCACTGACCTGTACACATGCATACAATCAGTTAACGATGAATTCAAGGGCCAGGGAGATAGCTCAGTGGTTAAGAGCACTTGCTGCTCTTTGAAAGGACCTGGGTTCAATTCCCAGCACCATGTGGTAGTTCACAACTGTAACTCCAGTTCTAGGAGATCAGATTCCTTCCTCTGAACTCTGTGGGCACCAGGCACATATGGAGTACATGTATATACACGCAGGAAAACACTCATACACATAAAATTAAATAAATCTAAAAAAATTAAGCAAACAAAGAATTCAGTTTGGTCCAGGCATGATGGCTTACTTGTAATCCTAAGCAAATGAGGGGCTTCAATGGGAGAATAGCCATAACCATCAATTTGGCTTTGATTCTTTCCTCCCTTTTTGGTGTGTCTGTGTGGTGAGCTGTCCCCACTTCACAGATATCAAAGGTGTGCTGTGGCTGGGTTAACTGAGGCTGAAGACTTGCATGGTGGGTTTCAGAACTCAGTGCTGCTGTGGCTGGAATGCTGCCCTTCTGCCGTTTCCTGGTTCAACCTCCCTCTCCCTTCCATCTTTACTGATACCGTACTTAGATCTGGATCCCTTCAGAGTGTATAGGTTTTATAATCTTTTTTAGATTATTGTGGCTTGGGTTTGTATTTTTCCCTTCACTTATGAATATTTTTGGGGGGGTTTTTCGAGACAGCGTTTCTCTGTGTAGCTCTGGAGCCTGTCCTGGCAGTCGCTCTGGAGACCAGGCTGGCCTCGAACTCACAGAGAGATCCGCCTGCCTCTGCCTCCCAAGTGCTGGGATTAAAGGCATGCGCCAATGAATTTTTTAACTGGGTTTTAAGATTTATTTTTGTGCATGCATGCAGTGCCTGTGAAGGCCAGAGGAGGGCGCTGGATCCCTGGAAGTCAAGTTCTCCACAAATATAAGTCACCTGACATGGGTGTTGGGAACTGAACCCTGGCTTCTATGAGAGCAGTAAGTGCTCTTAATCACCAAGCCATTTCTCCAGCCCTGTTTCTTTTTTTGTGTTTTATGATTTAAAAAAAAAATAAAATAAAAAATTGTGTATGTGTTCCTGTTTGTGTTTGGGCATGCACATGTGAGCACAGTGCCTGCCATTATGTACTCTTAGTATGTAGTCATCGAAGCAACCCCATTCTGTTTTGTTTTTTAATTTTCAAATGTAAGACACTTTTCATGTGATTGTTTGAAAAGAAATTCATTAATCCATATTTTAGACATCGGAGAATCAACTTGCCTTTTTTGCCATTTCCCTTGTGGGCTGGGTGAGATTGGGATGGACAGCTGTGGCTTGGGGTTCTGGGTTTATTACCAGGATGATGTAATTTCTTAGATGCTTTCCCTTTCCCATTCTACCTGACTCTGGTGGCAGGGAGGGTGGGGTAAAACATACATTTGTTCTTCATTAAACTCTGTTCTGTTGAAACAGGTGTTGAGAGAAAAGAGAATTCCTCCCTGGATGGAGGTGGCCCTGGTTCCCATGACAGGAAAACCAAGCCTATACCCGGGGTTGTTCCTCTTCACAACTCCCTGCCGGCTGGTGAGGCCTGTGCAGAACTTGGAGCTGGGCAAAGAAGAGCTCATTGGAACTATGGAACAGGTGGGTACCCGCTGGGGTGTGTGCTTATGTAGAACAGTTTTCAGGGACTTGGCTTTCACTTTTAAAAGCATTTGACAGAACATCCAGCTCACTTTTCTGACCCCCATTGCCCAGGACTAAGTAGTTTTAGTGTCTTGCCATACTGTTGGGAACCTGAGGGAGGCTTGGTGCTCACATAACTGCCTGTCCTTCCTGCCCGGTGTTCGTGGTTCCTTGGCACCTGGCTCTGCCCCAGCTGGTGAAGACTGAGGCATCACAGTTGTCGTCCACATCTTTGCCATTGCCAAACTGGAGTTTGTGCCTACTTTAAAAATTTTATTAAAAAGAAAAAAAAAATGAAACTGGAGGTGGTGATGCATTTTAATCCCAGCACTTGGGAGGCAGAGGTAGGTGGATCTTTGAGTTTGAGGCCAGCCTGATCTACAGAGTGAGTTATGGGATAGCCAGAGAAACCCTGTCCAAAATAAATATTTGTCTTCCTCTTTGGCTCTTCACAATTGGACAGGGTAGATAGAGGATGAGATATCCAAGGGGAAAGTGTTGGAGCTCTTAGCAGGCACACACCCTGGGTCTCAACAGCAGCTCCCCATATCAGTAGCCGGCATTCATGATTGGGGAGGGACTCTTTGTGGCCTTGAGCACTAACCCCTGGGAAGCAGCGAGACAGCCACAGTTATTTTATGCCTCTGTCTTCCTTACTCTTGTTTTCCTCCAGCTCTTCATGAACGTTGCCATTTTTGAGGATGAGGTTTTTTCTGGAATTTCCACACACCAGGAGCTCTTCCCTCACAGCCTGCTGAGTGTGATCGCCAACTTCATCCCCTTCTCTGATCATAACCAGAGTCCTCGGAACATGTACCAGTGCCAGATGGGTAAGGTGGGTGGAGGTGGTGGTGGTGGTTGGTACCTGCACACACAAAAAGCGTGTGTAAGTTAAGCTGAAATCATCTCAAACTTGAGAAGTTTCAAGAACAGCATAAAGAATGCCAGCCGGCCAGTCGCCTGTTCTGTTAACATTCTGCTGGCTCATACTTTCCTTTTTCACTTGAAGATTGTAGGCACAGTGCCCCCTCCACACTTCAGTGCATATTCCCAACCATAAGAGCTTTCTTAGTGAGGGATATTTGTCAAAATCAGGAGGTTCCGCATAAATGTGTGAGTACTGCATGCATGTATGTGCAGGTGTCTGCAGAAGCTAGAGACATTCAGTCCTTCTGGAGCTGAGTTATAGTCAGTTGTTAGCCACGGGACATGGATGCTGGGAACTGGACTTAGTTCCTCTGCAAGAGCAGCACACACTCCATATTTTAGTCCTTACTTGATTTGGAGGAGGTGGAGAATCCAAGGCTGGGTCCAGGATCACTTGTGTTCTGCTAGTGCGCACATTTGTGTCCTTTGGTGCAGAAGAGCCCTTTGGCTTGTTTGTGTCGTTCTTCACATTTACATTTTCCAGGAAAATGACTTGAGTTTGTCTGAGATCTTATGCCTTCACTCTTGAGGGGTTCAAGCCATTACAGTTACTCACATAGTTATCACTTCCAGTGCTCTTGAAATTAAAGCTTTTCGGCATTTGCTCCTAACCCCTACAACCTTCCTTGAGCTGATCTTGAATTCAGTATCCTTCAGCAGGGCTGGAGGGATGGCTAAGCAGTTAAGAGCATTGGCTGCTCTTCCAGAGGTTGTGAGTTCAATTCCAGCAACCACATAGTAGCTCACAACCACCTATAGTGGGATCTGATGTCTTCTTCTGGTGTAAAGGCATATGTGCAAATAGAGCGCACATATATACATTAAATAAATAAATCTTAAAAAAAAAAAAAAGAGTTGCCATGGTCATGGTGTCTCTTCACAGCAATAAAAA